TTTTTTTTTTTTTTTTTTTCTTCTTTTCCTGCGGGCTTCGGACTTCAAACCCGCCCGCTGCGCTCCGTTAAACCCCCAAACCCCCTCCTCCTCCCTGAGACTTTCAGGCATCGCTGAATGCATCGCACCCTGCCCAAACCGCGCTGCTCCCAGTTTTTCTGAATATCCCAAAATTAAACAGAAGCGGCGGCGGGTTCGGCCAGCACAGGGAGCGTTGGGGGAAGGAAGGGGCAGCCATGAAAATTGGGCGACTATAAGGGCCAGGCCGCGTCGGGCAGGGAGGATGTGTGCCAAGGCCTGCTTTTAAATAAACCGCGAGAACAAAAAACACCGAGTTTGCTTTCCTGGACTCCCCCACATGTTAAAAAACATGGAACTGTGCCACTAAAGCATGACACTGCGGTTTTACCCAACATACAGAAACGACCTTCACCTGATGCAAAAATTCAGGGGGATGCGTCTGCCTGGGTGCACCCAAGGCCTCAACCTAAGATGGGTGCTTGAAATAAATGAGCATATTCCAACAAAAACAACGAGCCTTTGACAACGGACCGGCTTTAACATCCCTTCCAACCCAAACCCTTCTGTAACTCCGAAACTCAGCTGCTGTCAGCCAAAGGGGAGGAGGAGGATTGAGATAAAGGCAACCTGATTTGGGAGTTTGGCTTCTGGGTGACGGTTTGGAGGATCTTAACGGCACTTGAGGAATTCCGAGGCGTGAACACACAATCACCGACCTCTGTGCCCCCGCCAACAGCACCCGGGGGGTGGGACAACCCTGCCAGAGTCAACCCTGTCACCCTCTGGTGAAAGCTGCGTACGGTGACAGAAAACGCGTTATCACTTGTCACAAGTTTTAATGAAAAATAAAGAATAATCCAGTTAAATACACATGCTATTCCCGTGAGTCAGGTACTTGGTGAATGTCCTTTTGATAACACGAGGCAGGATTCCAAATGCATGTGGAAACCTAGTACAGAGCACAGAATAATTAAAAGTAGAATTAAATGAATATATTTTAATTACTATAGCCAGAATACACAGCTGTATCCCAATTTACATTTAAACTTCTTCCTTAATTTCAATTCACTTCAGTTCCTATCAGACAAGCAAGTAGATCACATTTTCATTACAATATGGAAAAATACTAATCATTGGGCTTTTGTCATTAGACTTCTCAGCACCACAAGTCTGTCAACAGCCCGTGGCAATGCTATGCCTTCAGCAGAAGCTGCAGGGGGAATGACACGATTAAATTTGATAATTAAGTCAGATAAAGACAATTAAAAGTACTCCTAAATGCATGGCCCCAGTGAAACCCAATAAAACAGAACTTAAAACACTTTCACTTCTAAATGGAAAAGTGAACGCTTTTTGTTTAAGCAAACACTGGATTCCTTTTCCACTGAATTTTACAGCTGTCCTACCAACAGAAAGCAAGCCTTCCTCATCCTGATGGCGTCAGTAGGTACCAGTTTCACTCCCAGGCCTGGAGCCACGCCGAGGCAGAGCAGCCGCCCCGGGGGAAGCGTTTCCAGGCGGGAACCCTCAGCAGCGCCTCAACACTCGTCAGGACAACGCCCCCTCCTTCGCCATGGATTTGGCCCAAATAATGAATAAAAACAGTTTATTGAGAAGCTCTGCAGGACACCTGGACTCTGTGCAAGTTCCACGGGGAGAGCACCCAGGGGCCGGGCGGCCGCACGCCCGCTGCGGTCCAGGACACGGAGCCCGGGGACGCGGCGCCGAGGGACAATTGTATCAGAGCAGCACAGCCACTACAGCTCTGGAGTACACATGGGAACTTTAAAAGTAGAAATGACAGGGTTTATACCAAGAACCACGTCACTATATACACACACGCCCAGTGCCGGGGTGACTTGGGACCACTGGCACCACGGCTCAGACGCTGTCTGCAGAGTCGAGATTGCTCTTCCACTTTTTTCTTTCTAGAATTTCTTCGTCAAATATTTCTCTCTCCCTGCAAAGAAACGTATTGAAGATCTGTAGTAAAAGTAACAACAGTGAACCGTTTGCAGCGTGTTGCAGTAACTCAGCAAATAATTCTGTGACTCAGCGAGAAATCTTGGCCTTTCCAAGGGAGGGGACCAGACCCCTGCCCTTACACTCACTTCTCTCTATAAACAGTAAACTAGTAAGGAAAAATCAGGAGAAGGCTAAAAATAAAACGATACCTTTTGCCCACAGATGGTCCCTTTATGTACTTCTCTTCTGCCTTCTTGTAATCTATGTCATCCACAGCAGAGATGGCATAAATGATGGCCTGGAGAAGAATTCAGTTTATTTACACTCATAAAACAAAAAGCTACAGTCCAACCAGTGATGTGAAACTGCCTCGGCAGACGAGCACATTTTTAGAATAAAGGTTCCTCAACCACTTAAGAAACTGTGATGAAGCTGCTTATTGTGTACCTGAAGTTCTTAAATAAATAATGCAAACTTGTCCTTTATCATTCCCAGGAGAGTGTTTTTATAACCAGATTAAGACATTCTTCACAGCAATTTCTTTTTCTACAGAAGTTACTAGTGTTCTCCCAGGAAGGTTCCTAGGAAGAACAGTAAGTATCTAAAAGTCAAAGTATAAAAACAAACAATCCAGCCCCCAGCACAAAGAAAACCCACAGATAACTTGCCAAATTAAAAAGACCCAAAGCTTTGAAGTTTCAGAAGTAATCAAAACTCACCAGCAAGCGACCACTCTGCCTTTAAAAACATTGTATTACTTAAAACTTCTCCACTCTGTCCCAACGGCTTAAAAATCAGCATTTACAACTCCACGCAGGAAGCAAGCAGCCATTCCTACTGGGGCTCTATTTATATTTTTTCCTCTGACACGTCACATAAACCTATTTGTGCCCCAATCACCAGCCCATGAACATAGCTCAAGAGCCTCCCGCGGGGATTCTGGCACCCCCTGCCCCGGGCACAGGCAGCTTCACGTGTCGGCAGGCGGGCACGAGGGCAGGGCCTGGCTCAGACACCGCCAGCTCCAGGGACACCAAGCACCCAATTATTTACTTTATCATTTACTTTCCTCAGCATTTCACCTTTACTTACTTCAGGCAAAAGGACATCTGAAATAAATTTTATTCCATCTCCATTAATCCAATGAAGATTTTTAGTGTCTATTTCGTGATACATTTCCTTCAAGTAGTTCACTACAAGGTCTAATTGTTCTTCATCCTCTAAATACGTTTCCACGCAGGTCACGTACTGACTCGAATTTAGAAATTCCTTCAGCCACCGTGATGGTTTTCTGCTTTTCAAAATAGCCAGAAGATGCTCTTCAGCCCCCTTAGTCTTCACTATAAACTCCACTATCTTTTTATTCGCTTTATCTCTGGCAGCTCTTGTTCTGTCAGGGAGAAGTTTCTTGGAGGGTTTCTGAGGTGAAAGTTCTGATGAAGACTCTTCAACATCTTCTTCTGACGTGTTTGGAAAGGCCATTTGGACTAAACCTGAATAACCCGCCTTCCTAACTGGGTAGCCTGAAAGAAAAGCCACAATCATTAATACTTAAATATACAAAACAAGGGGCGCTCTCACATACATACTTACATGTGCAAGTGGAAAATAAGGGACTTTCTGATTAAGAGAGAAATTTCTAATTCCTCCTCTACCAAAGAAGTACCAAAAAGCCACCACCGAAATCTTAATTTTGCATTAAAAAAAGATTAGGGAGTTGAAACTCTGCGAGGAGCTCCAAAACACACTCTGCAGCCTGCAGTAACCAGTTACCTGATTGTCTTTAACAATCAATATTTATTTAATTTTTGTTGGGGGACTGGAAAACCTCATAATGCAGTAATGCTGTGTATGAAGTAACTTTAACGGGGTCTGATGCCCAACTCAATAAACATTAGAGCTAAACCTCCCTAAAGAGAAGAATACAAAAAAATAATGAATTCACTTACTGATATCAGCAGCGAAATACTCCAAGAAGGATCCCGTAAAAGAATGACAACCTAAAAAGCCCAAAACGGGGTTATTTGTGAGTTCAATTCAGACTATGAAAGAAAGCTGAGAGTTTCGGCGTTATCTTTTTTCTGAGGAATGTCAGAACGGGTGACATCAGCCAACTCGTCTGCTTACCCACTCTAACGCGATAGTCAGAAATCAGCTGGATACACCACTCGATTTCCCGGCGATAATCTTCTCTGGCTCGTTCCTGCAAAACGAGAGCCACTGACAGTCCTAAAGAGAGGAGCCTGCTGAAGCTTTTCAGCCTAGGACCCTAACCGGGTAACAGAAACAGCTAACGACTCAAAGTTTACTTCCAGTTTTCTGCATTCTCCTGAAATTCAACTTTCTGCTGAGCCTTTGCTGCAGCAGCCTCGTGGCAAACCCACAGGCAGAGCCCTGAGCAACTGCCCTCCCCACACACAGGTGTTCTCGGCAGCAGCCTCACCCCGATGGAAACAGGGGTCAGGGGATCCCCTTCCATCTTGTGGAGCGTGAATTCTGTTTAATTACTTTGTTGAACAGAGTGAGAGAAAAGAGCCGTGAAGCCCCCAGCCCAGGCAGCCGCACCACACTCCTCCCGCAGGGCCAGGTACAACGCTGTGTCCAACGGAATTCTTCCCACCACACGCACACGCTTGCAGCTATGTGTCACCTCTAGTACTTACTATGAGCTCCTGCTTTTCTTCACAATCAAAGTGCTTCAGATTCTTAAATGGTACTGAGAACCTTGAGGAAACAAGGAAGAAGGGTTAGGGAAAAAGAGGTTGAGTTGAGCCTCTATTTACTGCAATTCTGCACCTCCCTGAAAATTCGGTTTCATCAGGAATTTGGGAACACAGGTTTTACTAGTTTGGGTTTTCATAAGCTAAAACTGTGGAATCTTTTAACAAACGAGAAGTACCTGGTTTTAAAACAAAAGTAAAGGCAGGCCTGTGTTTCCAGAAAGTTAGGGCACCACATGTAAAAAAAAACAAAAGAAAACAAAACCAAACCACTAGCTGGGTCCCCAGCCCCCCTTTTTTTTTTTTTTTTTTTTTTTTTTTTTTTTTTCCCCTCTAAATTCCTGCCACAAGCAGCAGCCGTTCAACAACACCGGCCTGCCTCAGGCAGCAGCACCACAGAGCAAACCCTCTCGACCCAGAGCCTCCCTCCAAGACCAACCTCAGGCTTAACTCCAGCGCAATGGCCCTGCACCAGGCAGAGTCCAGGACACTGCCTGAAGGAAACCCAAAGTTCAGAACACTATCGGAAGCCACAACATTTACCCTTTTTTCTTGCAATTTGTATTCTCTTCTATTAACAGCACGTATGCCTTTCTGAGTTTCCGCTTCACGTATTTCACCTGTTGAGAGGATAAAGTCTCATCAGCACCCTAAAATCCCAACACCCCTACAAAGCAGGAACATTTTCCATCAATATTATACATTGCACCCCGTACTTAAAGGAAGCTATGCAAACATGAAAATGAAGTTTAAAGTATCAAGAATAGCAAGTTACACCAACAGAGCATTTTTGTCCTTTTTACACAAGGACCTACCCTCTTTCTTCTGTGGGCTGGGTACAACCACCCTAATTCAGGATACAAGATATAAAGGCTCAGTACCAATCCTCTGCTTCAACATAAACACAAGCGAATTAAATACATTTATTTTTTACATTATTTTTGCATATGTAAATGTACTTTATTATCTCTGTAACACTTCTGCTGGAAGCTCTAAAAGAGTCAAAGCTGCTCCTTCCCAGACCCCTGACAACACCACCCAGGAGGCAGGAGCTGTTCTTACCACTGCAGGCCAGTAGGGGTAACTCCGCAGTTTGCACCAGACCAAAAGCCCTTCTTCAAATGACTGCGGTTCTATGATGAAAAAGAAAGTAATTTTTCTTTAAAAAAAAAAAAAAGACGACAAGACAGTTCACTTGCCCTCTCTTATCAGCCTCCTTCCAGGAGCTTCACTTTAATGCTTTTACAGGTTTCACCTAAGGTGACAGGGCACCCCCACAGCCCCAAAGCGCAGCACTAGTTCAACACAGGAACTTGGGAGCATCAATCCCAGGCTCCTGCTCAGTTACCTAACGATCTGTATTTCATTCTATTTGAAAAAGCCTCTCCGGGGCATTCGAGAAAAGCATTTTATTCCAAGCTTGAATACAGCTGGCTTTGCTTTCTAGGAGGTTTGGTTTATTACGAGGGTCCTGGTTTCAGTCAGGATAGAGTTAATTTTTCTTAGTAGCTAGAGCAGTGCTGTGCTTTGGACTCGGGAGGGGATCTGGTATGAGAACACTGGCAACTCACTGATGTTTTCAGCTGTGCTCAGAAATCAAGGACTTCCCAGCTCCCCGTGTCCTGCCCATGCACAGCTGCACGAGAAGCTGGGAGGGAGCATGGCCAGAGCCCCGGACCCAGCCTGGCCAAGGGAATAGTCCCCAGTGCCCACCTCACCTTATCCTAGCTACTAAGAAGAAAAATTAACTCTATCCCAGCCAAAACCAGGACATGCAGCTCGTCAGCAAGCTAGAAGCACACATACCCTGAGAGGGCACACCTCCCCTGGGTGAAGGACTCTCACAGGTACACTGGGGGCTCACCGTGATGTGATAAAATACAAGGAAGTTCCTCCTCCTCTTCCTCCTCTTCATCTACCAGAGCTGAGAGGCGAGACAGACTCTCCGAGGAAACTATCTCTGAAGACAGGTCAGACAATTCCAGTCCTGCCAACAGCAGCAGGCACCAGGGTTAGTAAGTGTGGAATCAGAGCAGGGGAAACTCAGGGCTGTGGAAGTGAGCCCACAGCAGCGCGAGGCTCCGGCTCTGTCACACCACACACACTCTGTCCTCTGCCTCGGTGAAGGCCTAATATATCTGAATAAAAGATTAAAGAGGGGAAGGAACAAAACCAGGCTGGTTTCAGGACTCTGTGCCAGTCCGTTCTTTCACATCACACTGTGAAATCACCAAGTCCTCCGGCAAAGGGTAAGAGCCCCTGAAGCACAGCTCGTCAGTGCAAACCCCACCCAACCCCCCCCCCAGCTTCTAGCCAGGATTAAAACGACTGCATTGTGTGCTTCTCCAAAACTTAAACCAAAAATTAAAATCAGCCATTTCAGAACCTCACTCACAACAGCAACGCTCAACAATCCAACGGGACGAGGCTTTCCCTTCCCTGAGCAATATGCCCACCTTCATCTTCCTCAAAGTCAGGCAGCTGAAAGTGCTTTATTTTCTTCATAAACATACGTGAAGTTTTCTTATTTTCCTCCTCTTTATGCTGAGAGGGGAAGCTATCAGAAAGTGTCCCGTGGTTAGAAGGCCCAGATGAAGATTCAGAGCAACTCCCACATCTCCTTTTTCTGTACGAGGACATGGTTGCACCAACCTCCTCTTCTCCATTAACCTGGTTTAAACTCATTGGCGTTCTCCTTCCATCTAACTGCTCTGCCAGGCTTCTGCTCTTGCTACCGATGCTGTCACCTGAGGCACTTGTACAAGAGGAATCCAGTAGCATCTTTCCAGGTTCCTTTTTGGCGTTTGCCCTTGGCAGAGGCAGCGCCGTGTCAGACTCGCAGGAGACAGGCAGAGGGGACCCCTTCTTGGCGAGGGGCTGGGGTTGATCCATGGGGAAATCACTCCCAGGTGACACAGGTGATCCTGCACCTCTGGGCCTTTTTTTCCCTTCCTTCTTTTTTCCCTCCTTAGGCTTAAGGGAGACTTTACTTCCCGGGTTGGACTTTGTCAACAAGACGGGCTTGATGTTTTTCTGTCTTGGTAGTGATTTTGATTCCGCTGTTTTGCAATCTTCACTATGTGAATTTGACATATTACACAAGTCCCCAGTACTGCACCTGGAAGGGCTTGTTCCACTTTCCTGTCCTTTAGCACTCTCCTCCAAAATGAGGGAGGATTTCTGGTTTGGATTTTTTGTATCAGTCTTCAGGCTGGGGTTAGTGTTTTGTTCTGTTTTCCTCCTGGAAATCTCAGGCTCCAACTTTTCTTTTGAGCGAAAGAGCAATCGACATCTGCATGAGGGGGTAGACAGGAGAGATCCTGCATCATTCTCCTGGGATAACTGAGTGTTTGGTCCTTCTTCTGAAGGTAGTTCTTGTTGGGCTGAGCCATTCTGATTCAAAATATCCAGGGCAATTTTAAGAGAACAGCGATATTTCAGTTCTTCCACAGCCTCACTCGAGCTATTCCCTTGATCTGAAGAAGAAGAATATGCAATAAATGCAGTAAGCTTGCTTTGTATATAAGAAATAAATTTTATTTATAGTACATTTTTTGTTTAAGATGCAACTTAGCACTTAAATCATCGATTCTCAAGGCAAAGCACAGAGACACACAAAGTGCAAGCTTCCAACACCTTGTTTTGATGGAAGTACTCACAAGTTTCTTCCTTCCAACATACTACACAAGGGAAGAGCAAACGTAACTGTGCTCATGTTTAGTCTCCTTCCAAACTTTACAGATGGGATGGAAAGAGGGGAAAAGAAATGCAAAAAACCCCCCTCAATAAAAACATGAGTGAAATATCTAACCACTGCCCACCGGGCTGAGTTTTTGTGTATATTTTATATTCAGAATATATACAAGGCAGCAAATGTTTTGACATCTCCTCACCTAAGCTAGAAGCGATCTCTTCTATACACTCTTCCTTCAGTGGTACAGTATCTGCACAGTTCACACTAATCCTGAAAACACAACAAAGCTGACTGAAAATACCGCAGCATTAAACACAACTAACAGCATGACACTGCTCTCATCTGGCAATAAACTTACAGTATTTTTTCCCCCAAACCTGCAACTGTTAGCAGAAGTGAAGGAAGAAAAAAACCCCATGAAGAATGCCTGAGCTGAGTCAGCATGTTGTCTCCTGGGACGTCCATAAACAACTACAGGGCCAGCTCTAGAAAAGCAACAGGTTCTGGGTCCATGTCTCATCCTCCCATAAATCAATGATCTCATTTCACAGGCAGCTTCAGATAAAGGGATTAATCTTTTTTTTTAATGTCTAAGAGTGCAAAACATACAACAGTAACAAGGATACTTAACTGTTCTTTCAAGCCAAGTATTTTAACTTTAAAAGTAGTCACATTCTCATTAGTAACAGATGTTTTCCCAGCAACTCCAGTTTTGCACAAAACCTGCATTCAAGAGAAAAAACGTGCATTTAAAATCCCTGCCCAAGTCTGTTAGACTATAGGACAGATCTGGTATCAAAATATTTTTAATACAAACAGCACAGAACAGACTGATATTCCGTGACATCTGGTTGCAATATTAGGATCTCTACCAGTTAGCTATTTTTTAAAGCACACACATATTCACTCAGAACTCTTACTACTTACTGCTGACTTACTACTCCATTTCACCCATTTCTAAGTTATATCCATAAAATTTTCCTCATTTATACATCTGCTTTACCTTTGCTGGCCATAAACGCTTATTCCACATGCAGAGAACATACTCCTGATCTGCCATGACTCACACACACAAGGAAAATTCCAGAGTGCTCTGAAGAAAAAGGAAATAAAAGTTACCCAGTATTTTTGTCATCCTCTTTTTTTTTAAAAAAAAAGAAATACAGGACTTAAGTAGAACACCTATTATTACAGTTACACATCATTTTTACCTTTGCTGTCACCGGACTACTATTAACTTTGCAAGCATTCTCCAAATTTAAGTTCTAATAGCGCATCTTTCTGTAGCTGTGTAACATGATGCCTCACTGAGCACGTAAGTGTAGAAAATACTGTCGCAAATAAACAAAACGCTGCCGCAGGCCTGCACATTCTGCAGGTCCCTACAACCAAATCCTGATCATGGAGGCTATTTGTCACACCCGACAAATTCCACCGTGCTGGGCCAGCTTTTACACGCAGTTTACAATTCGAGAGAACCAGCCACGGAGTTCTCACGTGCTTCTTAAACACCCGAAAGGCTTTAAGAAAGACCCATTATGAACAAGAAAACCTGCCCGTACTTACAAAGCCGAGGCCTCCCCGGCCCCACCGCGGCCAGAGGCGGTACCTCCGCCCTGCAGGGCGAGGGTCAGGGACACGAGGCCTGTCCCGCCCGCGGGTTTGGGGAAGTTACAAGTATCCAACAGCTCCTCCTCACCCCCTGCCGCGGCTTCCCGCCGCCCAGCGCCGGGGCCAGCTAATGGCGGCGTGGGCCGCCCCACTGGGGCCCACCGTGAGATAAGGGCCGGGCCGGGCCGTGGCGGAAGCGAGGCCGGTGCCCCCAGCCAAGAGACTCCCGCCACGCTGAGAGAACGGAACTCCCGCCGCTTCCCGCTCCCCTCCAAGCCCCACCGAAAGCGGACGGACGGGCCGCCCGCTCCCCCCGCAGCT